CTTACTGAAAGATCGGCGGCGATTATTATGCGAACGTTTTTTTTGTTAAAAATGCACATGGAGACAAATTGGGTGACCTCTTACCGCCTAAACTTGAACATAACTATAATACACGTTATGGAAGCGATTATAATAACTATAGTTGTAAAACGGACAGATTTATGAAATCGTTTTTTCCACAGATGGTTTCACACATGAATAGACCATAATTTTAATATTTTTAATATTTTTAAATTTGAACTCTATAACTTTTTCAACTGAAGTTATGAATAATTTTATGCATCTAGATATTCTATTGTAGTATAATGAGACTTTTTACTGATGTAATTTAACCTAATAGGTTACAAATCGGTATTTTATTAAATTATTAAATTATTAATTAATTAATATATGAAGAAATTCTTTAAGACGAAGAAGTGGCATTTATCGGGCAGAAAAGCGGCGAGCCATTAAAATGGCGGCAATTTGACGACATATCGAAGGACACAATATCGAAGATAAAATATACTGCACTGTTTCAAAACTTCATTAAACTTCGTCGAAATCGTCTTTAGCCATGTATCATTATGTAAAAGTACAACAACTGGATGATATCAGCGAGACTCGGCGATAAAAAGCAAACAAGACGGCAAAGTATGGCTGAAATGGTGTTTTCGTGGGGGGTGAGTGAATTAAAATGTATTATATTTAAGGAAAACAATGACAATCCTTATGAAAACTACAATAATTATATTAAATTAAGCACAGTTTTTCATCCCATGATAATTTTCTTCAGGAAAAAGAACATTAAATTTCTGCCAGGCATATTAGTTATTTTGTGCATAATCAGCAATTTACCTGGGGTGGTGCATAGTCATTTTCTGGTAAAATATTATACTTAGACAAATTTTTGCTTCCAATGACCACCCCTAAAAGCAACCCTTCTAAACACTATAAGCACTTCAGAAAGCCTGTCGCTTTTGCTTTTCGGAAGTTAGAGCTATGTCGGCACTGCCGTTTCAGGGCGGGGTTATTTTCAGGACTTTCGCCCCGGATTCAGGTTTTGGCACATATGCCATGTTGACCGCCATGGTCATTTTACCCTAAAACAGTTGAGATTACCTGTGCTAAATGAAACGCATACAAACATCTATACAGGTCCTAGACTAAAAAGGTTTAAAGGACAGTCGTCGTCGACAAGCAACTTCTCCTTCAGAAGTTTAAGTGGCCCCCTAACGGTATGTCCGAAAACAAGCTCAAACGGAGTAAAGCCTAAAGATTCTTGAACTGAATCGCGTGCAGCAAATAAAAGTAAATGAATTCCTTCGTCCCAACTTTTCTCGGTGTCCTGACAATACATCCGAATCATGTTTTTCAATGTCTGGTGAAATCGCTCTAGTGCTCCTTGACTTTCCGGATGATAAGCGCTTGATCTAAATTGTTTGATGCCTAGTTCCTGCATCACTTGCTGAAATAAGCCCGACATAAAATTCGATTCTTGGTCCGACTGAATGGATTTTGGAAGTCCAAATAGAGTAAAAAATTTTGTAAGCGCTTGAACAATAGTTTTCGCCTTAATATTGCTTAAAGGTACAGTATAGCTTCTGGAAATTATGTCGAAACACACATAATAGTTAGGAGATATTGGTTTCCTTTTCGAGTTTTAGGCAGTGGTCCGACACAATCAATCATGACTCTACTAAACGGTTATTCAAAAGCCGGAATTGGTTTTAATGGTGCTTTAAGAATTACTTGGTTTGGTTTCCCAACAATTTGGCATGTGTGACAGGTTTTGCAAAATTGAACGACGTCTTTTCGAACACCAGGCCAATAGAAATGGGTAGTGACTTTTTGTAACGTTTTGTTTATTCCCAAATGACCCGAAAGTGGAGTATTATGCGCCAAACTAAGAATTTCGGATTGATAAGACTTCGGAATTATAATTTGATATCGAAAAGCCCATCCGTCATCGGCAGAAACATCAGGGGGTCGCCATTTCCTCATTAACACTCCGTATTTAATAAATTAGCACACAGGACCGCCTGTGGCAACCATCTCGTCTGAAGACTTTTGGTAAAGCGCAGAAATCTCAGGATCATTTTGTTGCTCTCTAATATAAGGCTAGATTTTGAACAACTACTTTGATTATCATTCGCATCCGAATTTTCAAATACTTTTGAAAGAAAAGTGTCAGACATGTCAATTTCATCTGCTCGCACATTATCTATCTCGTGATCTTGCCGTTTTTTCATGGCTCTAGTAACCGCACATGAAGGATATAAATCTGGAATAATTTGTTCAACTGGATCAGGCTGTTGAGAAATACATGGTTTGTTTGTTAAAATTGGGTTAACTGTAACTTTATCGCCTGCATGCTAAATCGTTTCCTAATAACAAATGTATCCCATCAAAAGGGGTAAGGATAAAACGCGGATACGGACGGACGGACGGATGGCGGACGGACGGACGAACGGACGGATGGCGGACGGACGGACGGACGGGGGACACAAGCGGATGGACGGGGGGGGGGGTCAAATCCGCGTTTTTTAGGAAATGTAATTAAGACTATTATTAATCGTAATAAATTGTCGAAAAAAGGATAAAATATTAAATTGTGGAAATGCGGGGTTTTTCGAACCTTTGTAACGCTGACAATTCTAATTAAATACGTTAGACATCTGCTTAAACTCGGGTCCAATTTCATTTGCGCAAATATCGCGTAATCGAGTGAGTGTTTGAACGCGATAAAACAACTCGTACGAAGAAATATTAATACATAAGGTTTACTAACGTACTTGCCAATGTCGTATTTTAACAAAAGTCCAACTGTTTCGTCGGATGTAATCGAGGCGCATTCTTTCTCAATCTGATTAAATTATAAATGTAAACAATACTAAAGTTGAGAGAAATACTCATGACTGTGACAGCACGATTCCGATATAAACCCGCTTTACCGATGTCAAATGTCCAATTAATTAATATATATGATTTGGTATTAAACTCACAAACAATTAGTTTCCAACTATATACGAAACCAGTAGTTTACAGGCTGTTTACAAACGCTAGGTTACATTAGTTTTTATCTGTACTTCCGCTTAAAAAGGTCAATTTTAAAACAGGGATTGTCTACATCAGCGACATGCATATAATCCCCAAATGCCGAGTCTTATTAAGATGAATTCTTATGAAAATTGCTCTTGCAAAGCACAAAGCTTGCGAAGTACAGGACAATGTGACAATGTCCACTTTGTATATTTGCGCACGGCTATTTAAGGTAATACGATATAGCTTTTGTCAGCATAGACTTAGACATGAAACTTCCTTTCGATCTTTAACTGCCACAGCACGGTTGTGTTTGTGAGGCAAGCGAAGCCAAATGTCTTTTTTTGGCAGTTTGGGGAAAACAAGCCAACCTACTCGCGAAACTGTTGATACGTCAGGATTGCCCAACTATTCGTATAGTTCTTTACTTGAAAAAGACGAAATTGGGGAAGGTGGTTTCGCGGTTGTTTTTACCGCGAAGCTGCCGGACAATGGAGCTAAGATTGTTGTGAAGAAGCTATTAGCGTCTGACAATGAAGCTAGGAAGTCGCTGGTTAAAGAAGCACGACTTCTTAGCAAGTTGCAACAACCGAATTTTGTCAGGTTTGAAGGATTTTGTCTGGACAAGTACGCTGTGTTGCTTGAATATGTGTATTTTGATTTTACGCCAATCGGAAACGACGGCATCACTGTGCATAGCTTAGCCAATTTCTTGGCAGTTTGCAAACAATCAGATTGCCATGGCATGCATTGCTCGATATTTATTCATTCTTCCTTGGACGTCGCGTTGGGTTTGAAGTATCTGCACGAGAAAGGGATTGCCCACCGTGACCTGAAACCTGAAAATATATTGGTGTCTAACCACCATTACAATCGTCTCACAGATACACGAGCAGTCGAATGCATGGCTTCCATTAAGCCACTCATATGTAAGCTGACGGACTTTGGTGAAAGTCGATCAAAAGAAATCCACACCGAGCAAATCCTAAAATCGAAGACCGCACGGGTAAACCGAGGTGAGACCACTTAATTTAATAACAATGTTTGAATCTTGTCGATCTAAAGGCCATGTTATAGGCCAATGGAATTAAATTAAGGTATCAGTTTACCAACACCCGCCCGCGTCTACTTTTGACAGCTGCGTGAAATTTTCATTATTTTATATTTTCTCATTATTTCCATTTCCCCCAATCTTTATAGTGTTTGATAAAGCTATTTTATGCAATACATCAAAATTCACTTAACAGATGCCTTCGGAATTGGTTTGAAATAAGTCCACTGTCCACACGTTCTGGAAGTGTCGGGAAAAGCTCATGGTTGCGTTCCAAAAGTATAGTTGTAAACACACCTTTTTTCCACCATCCCTGAAATGAATAATTATTTTTCTTAATTTCGGTAAATAACCTTCGAAAGTTCAGCTGATGGCAAACTGATACCTTGATAATTCCGGCCGTTGGCATAAATACAGCTGGAACACTACCTTCAGATTTTAGGGTCATTGGTAAAGTGAAACCAAATTTTTTACTCGAATGACTCCCAAAGCCCCGCGACATGTGTCTTGACCACTCGGTCGCGTTTTTGCCATCATGCCTGGTCAAAACCGATAGTGGGAATGAAGATGCATATTTTGCATAAATTGCCTCGTGTAACATGACCTTTAGAGCAAGCAAGTTTATACGAGGGGCAGGACGGAACGTATCATTACAAGTATATTTATTTCATTTATTCCGTGTGATGCCTATAAAATCTTTAAAATTACGATATGTTTTAAGTATACTTGATTTTGAATACGTGCAAGTGTCATATAAAAAATTGATCAAAATTGCCAATATACAAATTTTGCTGGCCCATATCGGTCAACAAAGAAAACTTGCTGAAGCAATATGAGAATTTGCATGTGGTTAGCCAGCGGAATCAATATTGTGGCCTTTTATTGCGCGCTCGTATTGCCAGCTTTACGAATACATTGGCATTGCTGGCTGCTAATTGTCACATACTGGGTGTCTAAAAACCGCTATGGAAATTCAACAGGCTGTCGTGGATCATAAACTTCGCTAACTACATTTCAATTTTTACACAGGGCGAAAGAACAGTTATTTAGCTTATTACGAAGTCAAACCGGGACCATTTCGTTTTGGTCATAGTATTATCATATGGTATTATCTAAAATAGATGTTTACATAAGACCGGGACGAAAATAACTCAGACCGGTCTCAAGTCATTCCGCCTGACTTCAGACCGGTGTCCCAGGAAATTTGCCCCCCCCCCAAATAAAAAAATTGCCCCCCTCGAAAACATAGACATAGTTTACTTTATCGCTATAAACTAGTTTCATATCTCGTATCTCTAAGAATGGTTCTGAAATATTATCGCTATAAGGCTATATAAGCTCGGAAATCGTGAAGCTTCTTCTAAAACCAAGATCCTAAAGGTGTTTGTCAGTATTTATAGTTGGTTTGCATAATTTTTTTTTTTCGAAATTCTTCATTGCGGTCAAGATCTAAAAGTTTGAAGGAAAGCGTAATAATAATAATGTGCTAGTGCAGTCACGCCAGACACATCACACATGGGTATTTGTAGAGGACAACGTTAATGCATGATGGCTTAGATTTAAGCTAAGAACACAAAACGCTTTTAAAGATAGAAATATTACAAGTTATTTAGATCTATAAATTGAACTATTAAACAATCTGATTGTTCGCAAACTGCCAAGAAATTGGCTAAGCTATGCACAGTGATGCCGTCGTTTCCGATTGGCGTAAAATCAAAATACACATATTCAAGCAACACAGCGTACTTGTCCAGACAAACTCCTTCAAACCTGACAACATTCGGGTGTTGCAACTTGCTAAGAAGTCGTGCTTCTTTAACCAGCGACTTCCTAGCTTCATTGTCAGACGCTAATAGCTTCTTCACAACAATCTTAGCTCCATTGTCCGGCAGCTTCGCGGTAAAAACAACCGCGAAACCACCTTCCCCAATTTCGTCTTTTTCAAGTAAAGAACTATACGAATAGTTGGGCAATCCTGACGTATCAACAGTTTCGCGAGTAGGTTGGCTTGTTTTCCCCAAACTGCCAAAAAAAGATATTTGGCTTCGCTTGCCTCACAAACACAACCGTGCTGTGGCAGTTAAAGATCGAAAGGAAGTTTCATGTCAAAGTCTATGTTGACAAAAGCTATATCGTATTACCTTAAATAGCCGTGCGCAAATATACAAAGTGGACATTGTCACATTGTCCTGTACTTCGCAAGCTTTGTGCTTTGCAAGAGCAATTTTCATAAGAATTCATCTTAATAAGACTCGGCATTTGGGGATTATATGCATGTCGCTGATGCAGACAATCCCTGTTTTAAAATTGACCTTTTTAAGCAGAAGTACAGATAAAAACTAATGTAACCTAGCGTTTGTAAACAGCCTGTAAACTACTGGTTTCGTATATAGTTGGAAACTAATTGTTTGTGAGTTTAATACCAAATCATATATATTAATTAATTGGACATTTGACATCGGCAAAGCGGTTTTATATCGGAATCGTGCTGTCACAGTAATGAGTATTTCTCTCAACTTTAGTATTGTTTACATTTATAATTTAATCAGATTGAGAAAGAATGCGCCTCGATTACATCCGACGAAACAGTTGGACTTTTGTTAAAATACGACATTGGCAAGTACGTTAGTAAATCTTATGTATTAATATTTCTTCGTACGAGTTGTTTTATCGCGTTCAAATACTCACTCGATTACGCGATATTTGCGCAAATGAAATTGGACCCGAGTTTAAGCAGATGTCTAACGTATTTAATTAGAATTTTCAGCGTTACAAAGGTTCGAAAACCCCCGCATTTCCACAATTTAATATTTTATCATTTTTTCGACAATTTATTACGATTAATAATAGTCTTAATTACATTTCCTAAAAAACGCGGATTTGATCCCCCCCGTCCATCCGCTTGTCCCCCCCCGTCCGTCCGTCCGTTCGCCATCCGTCCGTCCGTCCGTCCGTCCGCCATCCGTCCGTCCGTCCGCCATCCGTCCGTCCGTCCGTCCGTCCGTCCGCCATCCGTCCGTCCGTATCCGCGTTTTATCCTTACCCGTTTTAGATGTACGGTTGAACGGACTTCGCCTTCGATCTTGAGATCTCCTGTTACTGTTCATATCGCGTTCACTTTGGTGATCTTTCTTTAGGGCATTTACTTCTGTTGTCAAGCCATCCGTCGCGTTTGTAAGAGATTTGGCTTGTTCTAAACTGATTTCGTTGGCGCGGCAAATGTCAATGGCTTTTTGAAGCGTTAAATCGCTTTCCCGCAATAGTCTCGCACGTAATTTATCGTCAATTATTCCACAGACTATTCGATCTCGAATTAACCCGTCGCAAAGGGTACCAAATTCACAAGACTTAGCTTTCGTGCGCAAATCTGTCACGTATTGATCAATTGTCTCACCTGCTCTCTGATTTCGCGTGCTAAAAACGTGCCGTTCGTAAGTTATATTCTTTCTTGGATTACAATACGCGGCAAACTTTTCCATTATTTTATCTACTTTCATGGCATCGCCTTCGCTCGCCCATGTGAAAGTGTTATAGACTTCCAACGCATTTTCTCCTATCACATGCAGCAATGTAGACGCTTGAACTTTTGCAGATTTTTCGCCGATTCCACTCGCTACTAAAAACAAATTGAATTGTTGTTCCCATTTTCGCCAGTTTTCAGCTAAGTTGCCTTCTAAATGTAAGATATTTGGGGGTTTCATGTATTCCATCCTGACACCATGTAATATTGTGTTTGTTTAGACACACGCCATGTTGAGTCTATCTGTCCTTTATCTAATTGTCTCCTGCATATATATCTATGTCCATTACGTCATAACTACTTAATGTCAATCATCTACTTATAAATGTCACACATACCTCTCACTCACACTTTACTCAAAATCGGAGCTTCACTTGAGCGTGAGTGGTGTCTTTGAATAGTTGGAGTGTGAGTGTCGCATTATACTATGTGAGTGTGAGTGGACACTCATTGAGTGGTGAGTTGTACTCATTAAGAATGAGTGTCCACTCATTGAGTGTGAGTGTGAGTGAGCTTTTAGAATACAGGCGTTAGGGTTATTTATGGATAATTTGGGTAAAAATTGGCAGGAGCCTTATGGATAATTTGGATAAATGGATAATTTGGTAGCAATAATTTGGTAGCTTATTAGTATTCTATTTTGTGGCTATCAATCGGAGAAAAATGTGAGCCGAAACCATAGAAATAATAGACATAGAATGCGTGCTCCTATCTTTTCTCAGTAAAAATTTTGTCTCCACAAAATGGCGGATGTATAAGGGCATTTTTGTTTTCACTTTGGACACCGGTTACGTGGCCAAGCACGCATTTCCACTTAAGAAAAATTTCCACGAACAAACAATTTTCCGAAAATATAATTGTTAAAAGGTGAGAATTTTTTTATGACGGAAAATTTGTGTCGGCCAATCACATTTTACAAATTTTTCTTTCCGCGGAAAATTTTCTTGAGTGGAAATGGTCCTTATGAATATCTCGCGTTGGGTATAAAAACACCCACGTTCCAGAAAATTATCGTTGTGCAATTTGTTGAGTGACAAACCTCGTGTGATAGCTTTACAAAATAACTGTTGATAAGCCTGAACAAAGTTTATTGCGAATGCTTCTTGTTGGCAAGATGTGAATTTTTATGTGTGTCATTACAGTCTAAATTTTAACAAAACAATTTCCCTTAGGTTTGCTTCGGTGAAGGTCCAGATGTCGATCCAGACTCACGTGATGACGTAGACGTCATGTGGACCGTTGACGTAGCAGCCGAATTTGTCGAGCAACATTTGATAGGAGTTGAAAACAGACCAAGTATAGTTGAATACTGCATATATACAGTAAGTATAAACCTTCACAGGTACTGGTAGACGGACTGTAAGTTAAAGACCCGATCCTTATCATGAAATTTCCGAGCAACGGATACCTCAAAACAAAGGACACCATTAGTATATTAGTATAAATAACAAACTACATGCATGAAAGCGTTATCCCACGCATACATATATGTAGACATGGAAATTTGAAAACATATACTCAAAAATCTGGCAAAACACTTGACTATCACCGTATCTTGCAAGCTTCTCTCGTGATTGTCTGTCACTATACGTCTAGAAAGCGGAAACCTCCAAACATCGGACATCAAGCTTTGGTCCCTATATAGGTATTCATTTATACAGAGCTTGTACTGTGATAACTTTATATTATACATAAGAAGGAGTTTATATATTAAAGGATTTTGACTAGCTAGAGGTGTGTTACTAATTAATTCAGGAATAGAAGGAAACCGCATTCCATTAGATTAGACTAAAATCTAAAGCCAAGAATGTTTTTACAGCCAACACCTGATGGGACGTGTATCTTGGACAAACATCCTCGTTTCAAGAATATCATTGTCGGAGTTGGATTTTCTGGTTAGTAACTACTAATTACTTATAGTTACTCATGTACTGTGCCTGTATATACGCGCATGTAAGTTTTTAATTGACAAATTTGGCTAACATTGTTTAATCCATGTTACCCAATTCACAAATCACAACTTCAGATAGTTTATAGTTAGTTACTATATCGTTCTAGTTTACAGAAGCATAGAGTAGAACGAGGTAACTACAGGGGCGTAGGAACCGGGGGGGGGCCATGCCCCCCCCCCCCAAGTTTTGGCAAGTGCCCTTTTTACAGGAGCAAAGTGCCCTTTTTGTGCCTGAAAAATTTTCATAAAATTCGCAGTTTTTGTCCAAACGAAACTTTTGAAAACTGTAATGTAGGTTTTTTCCCGAAAAATGTTTTAGTTTCCGATAAAAATATCATATATTTGTTTTTCCGGAAAAATTTTTTAGTATTTAAGGAAAAATATGGTATGTCCGGAAAAATTTTTTACCCCTAAAATGGTACACTGACCGAAATTTTTTTGGCGACGGGGGGGGGGAGGTCGCAAAAAAAAATTTTTGAGATGCCCTTTTTTTTTAAAGTGCCCCTCAAAGCCTGCCCCCCCCCAACTTTTCTAAGCTTCCTACGCCCCTGTTGGCGTTCCTCTCAAAATTACTTTGTTTTAGCTTTATTCTCTAGTTTATAGAGTTAGCTACCTTTTTAAATGCGTCTGCCGGTTGAGAAACATAAAATAATAGTTAAAAATTGTCAAGTAAAATACAATTATCAATGATGCTTTAATATTGACGCCATATTTACAGCCATATAACTGCAAAACTTACTGAACTTCAGACATAATTTTCTCTTCGGCGTATCATCTAAAATCTCTTCATTTTAGCATTATGTTATAGATAAAGCACTAAATTTAGTCATAACCTCAAGTGGTATATTGTACGCATTAATTTTGAGCGCGTGTTACGTAACATACAAAAAAATCTCCTCTTAACAAAGAGGGTTTTGTCATGGCCGACTGAACATGGCAGAATTGGGAAATACATGTTTAATTTATTGCGAAGACAGTGTCGGGCCACTTACAAATTTTACAGAGGTTTCATTCGAAAGATTTCTGGAATGCCGGAAGCAATGGATACAACTTGACGGCCGTCAGAAAGACATAGCATTACGTACAACTCAAATTATAAGCATTGAGGAAGAAGATCGCTATGAAAATTTTAAAGAGTTGGCGTTTCATCGCAAATGCTATTCATGCAGCATTTACCAATAAAACCCTATTAAATCATGCTGAAGCAAGGCGCAAAAAAGCTGAAAAAGAGATCAAATCCCATCGGCATCGGTTGACCAAGGCAGTAGTGATCCTGTCCCGAACAAAGTTTTCCGATCAAGTTTAGCGGCGTCCACTAGTGCTACTAGATCAAGGAACGAGCACGTGTTACCTCCTGTCTGTATAGTTTGCAAGAAGAATTACACCGATTTGGTAAGTCAATCCTTTTTTGCTTTTATTTCGTCCGTGTATTGTCAATTCTGCTAATTCAACATGTCAGTTTCTGCTAATTTATAACTTTCAACCTTCATATGGCCGGTAATTTAAGTATCGCAAACCTCCGATTATAAGTCCCCCGAATATAATCCCCCCCGAATATAAGTGCCCCCCACCAAATATAACCCCCC